AGGCCATGCACTATCCTGTGTAGTGCCATATCGCATGCCTCATGTTTGAACACAAACAGGAACTTTTGACAATGGAATGTGAAGATTTACCCTACTATGTGTACAGGGTAACAATTGAGAAACCACAGAATCAATGCAGGTGAAAAATACAAGGTGCAGGTAGGGAGGTTTCTAATGCCTTTAGGCTTGTTTAGGCTTGACCAACATGTTGTAAGAACTATATGGAAAATACCCACAAAACTAAAGGGTTTCAACAGTTTGTTGCGCCAATGCTTCCTAACAGCAATGATATATTTATTGTCGTTCATTTTTTACTTACTCATGGAGAAGATTAGCAATAACTAAGGTTATACTTTGGAATGAGTTGTAAACCTTGAATGTTTATGGTGTACTTAGGTTAGTAGCACACCCTGAGCTCATAGATTAGGTTCCCAGGGGGCAGTCTAACATTTCCAAATGGAAGCTAACATAATTAACAAGAAATTAAGAAATTATAAACTTTTAAAGTATAAAATATATTTTTCTATCACCAGTTTCCATTTGTTAGCAGCAGCCAGGCACACCCTGTGCAGAGCTTTGGACTTTGTACAAATATCAAAGCTATAAGCAAAAAGTAAGGGAACTAATAGTGTTCTGTCACTGTTTTCTATGAATAACATGAAGGCATAGTAAAAAAAAACTCTGCAAAAATAATACTGCACAAATGGATTGGTGATCTTGTCAGCAAAAGAGGATCAAATGCTACGTTCTCTATTTCATCGTAAGACATGATAAAGATTGTATCCATGTGACATAGAATCTGAATAACAAGGCATTTGCCAATATGACAAATTGTAACTTGATATATGGCATCATCGCTACAGTAACACCTCGGTATCATGGAATTAGGTATCATAGCATCTGTAAAATGGCAAATTATGGTTATGTTGCACAACAGAATAACTTTACACATACAATAAGAGCATTGTGATTTAGTGGGTGCTTACTGAGCATGGCCATAGGTTTTGTATCTAAAATCTCTATCTCTATTCAAAATCTTCTTACCTGTAAATCAAGGCATTTATAGAGTTCTGCTGCATAGAGGCTATAAAAATAGTTAATATTTACATTTTTGTAGTGTTGTCGTCCATTGTCACACTTTCACGTGCATTGCCTTAAGACAGTCAATTGGAATGAATGGTCTACCAAGGCACCCTAATGTGCCAAAAATTGTGCATGCACCTTTATGACAACCAACCTGCATTTGTGGCATTGAAGCTTGCTACAACACAGGTGCATTGTCTTTTGCATTGGGGGTGCCATTCAAAATGAATCAGGATTGATTTATAAATGCTTTCCTTTTAGGTCATATTTCATTGTAAGTCATTCTGTTCTAGTACGTAAAAATATCCATCCCACAAAAACATTTGTTGCAAGAGACCTGCTTGAGAGGTAGCAAAGTTATGACCCCAAAATGTCTGTGGGTACAGAAATCATTTCATGCTATCTACTCAACTTGCTCTAGAGGAGTTAGGATCTTGTTCAATAAATCATTACCTTGCACAATTAAGTGTACCTCTCTAGATCCAAAGGACAGATATGTCATAATTGCTCTCATTATCTAGTCCAGCCATTCTCAACCAAGGTGCCCAGGCACCCTGGGGTGCCTTGAGGTCTCTTCAGGGGTGCCTTGGCACTTGTATACAAGCCAGCAGGTGGATCAAGCCTGCCTTTTAGTTACACAAAGCCACAGGTTTTCATTGTGCACCATTACGAACTTCTAGGCACCGGCATCCTGACAACCAATTACATCATCAGTTGATAAGGAGGATGTCAGCTGCCTGAACGGCATCCTAGTTTGACCCTCTCCTGCCCTTCTCCATCAGTGTTGGGGTCCCACTAGCTCAGTGATGGCGAAAAACTTAGGGAGAAGAGAAACGCTGGATTACTACATAGTGTGCAAAAGTGCATTTGCTTTGGAAGAATAAATCACCTCTAATGGTGGGTATCCTACATGTGGATGTTGCTGCATTATTTAAAACTATTAGAATAGTTTTTCACATTTTAGAACGCAGTTCATGTTTCTCTGCTTCTCTCATGTGTTACATCCCAGACTTGGCACAGGGCATTATGGAGACTAGGCATGCAATGGCTCAACCACCAGACAGCCCAACATCAAATCTCCACATTTGAAACTGATTAGCTACATTACATGAAATGGAACATTTTTATAGCATATCTACATGGAGAGCATACTGTATCTGTCTCAGGAAAGCAATTGGAAAGGAACAGCTGCCCCCCAACTTTGTCCTTACTAGATGAGGACAGGAGGTTGGAGACTCTACATGATGCCACTCCTAGCCCTGACTCATATGATTCCTTCATGGATAATGGGAGAAAACACCATTGTATAATTGCTTGTACCACTAAATTAGAAACAATGAAATTAGAACAGGCTTTTTTTGAACAAGGGGAGATGATCGGTAGGCTTCTGGTACTTCAAGCCCAACATGATAGGCTAATAATTTCTGTATCAGAAATCACAGCGGAAAAATCCCTTGTGGGATTCCTGCTTCATAATTCAAAAAGGATATAAGACTGCAATGCTGGAAAAAAAAAACCTAATCAATTCCAATCTCCCCCTTTAGCAGTAAAAACAAAGGAGTCCCAGCCACATTCTGAAAGTCTGAAAACTCTGACTAGACTCTATCCACCACAAATAACCCACAATAACTCTTTTTTTTACTATCCACCTCTATGACTACAAATTCTGCATGCACCTCAGGCCTAAGTGCACTTTTAGATCTAGACACATGTATCTTCAAATGCCATCAATAATTATATTAGTATCTTGAACTGACCCCCAATGTCAGCTTCCCCCACACATACCTCTTTACACCTATCATCTATACTTGCCCCCCCCCCTCCCCCCCCCCCCCCCCCCCCACACACACACATCTTTTTCCCTCATTGAGGTGAGAAAGTATCCTGGATAAGGTGACATTGCCGCAATCAACTACTTCTGTCTCTTGGTACTATTGCATTGATTGTTTGCTGTTTTGTGTGTGTGTGTGTGTGTGTGTGTGTGTGTGTGTGTGTGTGTGTGTGTGTGTGTGGTTTACTTGTCCTAAGGGTCTTTCCTGTGAATATTGGCCTCCTAAAATAACAAAGTCATATTTAGACACAATTCAAATAAACAGACTTTTAATAAAATGATAACTTACCATTGGCATTGGATTGTCATTGGATAGTGCATGGATCCTTTTTAAAATTAGGTGTCCATACAATGAGAAGACATCTCCATTGCCATCTTTAATTTTGGATCAATAAAGAAAATCAAGTGAATACTAAACGTGTATATAAAAAACAAAAACTTTTGTGCAAAGATGAAATCTAAATCATATAATAATTAATGAAAATAAATTATAATAAATTCTACCACTTCTATACATATAAATATAATCAACAAAAAGAACCTTCAAAGTGATTCAGTAGCGCAATAAAATATATACGTGCACAAAAATAAACAAATTAGTGATCAAAAAATTTGAAAAAACTAAAGGTCCATAAAAAGTCTTTTCCACCAAATGAATCTTTCAATTCCCAAAAGATCACCACGTGCAATAAAATAACGTTCCCTCTTTCGAGTATGCACTCACCAGATAGCCATGCCTTCCATTCTCATGGGTAGCTAAAATCGCTTTTTGAGTGGATCCAAATGGGAAGGAGTTCAATCGTAAATGGGTATTAGCACATTCCTCTCTGCTCATCCTCCAATTACCATAATCAGTTGACACCACTTCATAGATTAGCAAGATCCTAATGATAAGGAACTAGTAGCAACATGGATGACACTCTCCTCCTCCTTAATCTCTCTCATTCAGGATTAGTAATCATGTGGAAACAAAAAAACCCACCAGTGTTTTTGAACTCACTGCATTACTTATGGGCTTTTTATCTACTTATACTTTGTAAGTGGCTGTCTTTATAGCGATTAAAGGTGTCATTTTGTGCTGCACCATTGGGTTTCATTTTTTTGTTTCCACATGTGATGGCAGTCAGTGAGCAGTATGTGGTGTTAGTCTGTGAACAGTAAGAGGGGTATAACTTCCTGTTATACTGGTTAATAATTCTCACTACCTAATGTAATTGCAGCTAGATTGCTTTTTTCTAAATGGTTAATATAGTGGGATTACACTATGGCTCTTCCTTTTCTTTTAATTTATGGTGACTGATACGGTGGGAAGGAGAAGAGGAGGTTATTAATCCCAGATGGTATGGAGGCTTTTGTCTGGATTGTCTAAGGTTGGAGAGATAACCCCAAAATGAGTATCCAAACAAAGAGAACAAGAGTTGTTAGACCCATAAGGGGTCAAAACTACTGGTGAGTGTCTATACCATAGGGAGTGAAGAACATGTGTGGAAATGGCACAACTTAGAATCTATGAGTTCAGTACTTTTATTGATTTTGTTTTTTGACCCTTACAATTTGGATCACTAAGAAGGGAAGTGTACTGCAGCATCACTGGAAACATATCCTCTTTAAATGATTTATTTGTGCAGGTACATTATTGTTTTTGTAAAGACACAAGTGTTGGTGTTTTGATTAATTCACAATACTTACATCAAAGGGGGAGGTGCACTATAGTATGGTATTGATTTCTATTCACTGCTCATCTTCATGTGATATTATATTATTGTCTTTTTGATTGCACTGAAAATGTTTTGCCATGTATTTACCGTACGGTTTAGCACTTCACTGTTTTGCCCAGTTTTTATAATTTTTGGTACCCAGGGGGATATCAAGTCCATCAGCTAAGAGGGGGGTAGGAAGTCGTATATAGCACAGGATATGTCATCTTTTTTTTACTAGTGAGCAGTATGTAATGTCAGTCAGTAAGCAGTATGAAGTGTCAGTCAGTGAGCAGAATGTAGTGGCAGTCAGCAACGCACGCATGGAATTTCTGTTGGAGAGGCCTCTCTCCATCATTCACTTAACACCCCACAGGAGATTAAAGACTTGCAGGGTTGCTATCTATGCCCCTCCATCGTCAGCTGCTGGATCCGCCATAGCAGTCACCTGTGAGCGGATGGAAGGAGGTGGCCACACCATCGATCCCACCGACCACCTCTGGTTGTCTGGGGAGAAGTTGGGGGAGGAGAAGTCTAATATCTCTTTCTGGGGAGAGGAGAGACAGCCACAGACAGCCTCACCCTCCACTGACGTGTACCTCTCTATCGTCTGTGGAGGCAAGTGAGGAAAAACCAATGACATTGCACAGGCACCCGATGTGCTCCTTAGCAGCCAATGATGTCATTGGTCCGTGAGATGCAAGTGGGAAGCCCAGCATAAGATCAGGGCTCGTATTTTCAGCCTGTGGCTCTGTGTAAAAATAGGCAGAGACACAGTTTTACACTTTTTTACATTTTTCCAAGGCACCCTTGAGGAACCTAGATGGCACCCAAGGGAGCCACAGGACCCCAGCTGAAAAAAGCTGTTCCAAGATGTACTGTGTTATAATGGTGCCCATAGATACACATACAGATATATACAAAACAGTGTAAAAGATAAGAGATACAATTATTGACTGATTCTATCTCAACAATGAATTCCAAACATACTGTATATGAAGGATACAAATTAAAGCAGGTATGTATTCATTAATACATGTACTTTTTTAAATGTAACCAGTGCAAGTACCTGGATTTAATTAAAATCAGCCTCTTGCAGTCCACTCCACAGCAAAGCTCAGACCAAGAGAGGTAGAAGCAGAAAACGAAGCCAAACAGTTGCGCTGAAATGAAGGCAGCATACTGATAGGAGGAGGCAGTATAGTGATGAAGAGATGAGCTATCAGTTTTGTGTTTTTCATATTAGCCTAGTTTACAATAGCAATTGGAGAAGGTTGCAGAAAAAAAATGTGAGGTTGAGCCGCATTCCCCTCACCCCACAACTGCTCCTCCACCAAATGTGACCCATTTTATAGCACTGACATTTACAAAGGAAAGAAAGTTTTAAAATTGCTGGCAAATTACTTTCACAACTGTCATTGACAACTTCAGCAATATTCCAAGATGGATCAGCTTCATCAAAGCATTCTCATGCATTTGATTGCATTACTTGATTGCACAAAGTGCCCCATTATTTATTTTCAGCATTTATGGAGCTTTGGTCTAGAGTTGGGGGCAGGGGTGGACTGACCATTTGGGAACCCGGGCACTGCCCAAGGGCCCAGAGTCAGTAGGGGGCCCCATGAGATGTCCCTGGTACCTTTCATAGGCTTTTTTGGGTGTGGTTTGAGTGTGGGCAAGGCCACAGGGGCCCCATGATTTCCTATTGCCCAAGGGCTCCATGAGTTGTCAGTCCGCCCCTGGTCGGGGGCCTTACTAGTACATTAAGGTTGTTTGCTCTTCTCACATTTCCAGTTCACATGCATCCTTCAGAGATTTTACGGAGTTTGCTCTATCAACGTGTTTGTTTCATACTGGGGCAGCCATAGAAGTGACTAGACTTGGTATGTCCTTTGATACTGTTCAGGGAATTGGTAGGTGGAAGTTGAGTCTCTACTGTACCTTTATAAGGCCCATAGAGTGAAAGTCTGAACCAATTGTGGAGTGGTCATGCATTGTTTGAGTCCTCTAGGTTAAAGGCATCCACTTTTTATATTGCTTTGTTATTTTTGTTTCATCTCCTGTAAGTCAGAGGTGTCTTTTGGATCTTGGGACATTTTTTATTATCTGGGTTAACTACAAAGCAAAGCTTTGGCATAGTGGTCTGCAGTTGGGTTTTCTGACTGCTCATGTTAAATCAGTTCGCCTTGGTGAAGGTTACCCCCTTGCTCCTCAATCAGGTGGCTATGGAGGGGCCCCAGACATTCTCTTTGTTCATATCTGGGGGAATAAACTTGGGGCTGTACCCTTCAGAGCTCTCATTTGCCTTTTTAGATAATCATCCCTTTGTTCTTTTGATTTGGTGAGAAATAATTCTGTGTTCTTTCTGGAGGCAGGCTCAGGATCATTACTCTCTTGACAGCGCACGCATTAAGATTAATAATGCAATTTCAAAATATGCCCTTTAATACAATAATCTGGGTGCTCACCATGTGGACTTGGAGAGCAAACATTTTGAGCAGACAGTGTCCACCTTAGTGAGGTGGTCCTTGATATGTAATTTGCTGTTGCAGGACCAAATTGAGTGGGCTGTTGCTCAGTGGCAGTCAATGAGATAGCCTCCTGACTGTAACGGGTAATGAGAGAGCCTCCTGACTGTGACAGTTATCCCTTTTGCAGGCTGCAGTGACTGTGTCAGAGCCTGGGTCCAAACCTGGGACTTCTGCATGTGTTGTAATGTTTCTTCTTGCTGAGCCACCTAGAATGCTGGGCAGCTCCCTTGACAATTATTTGAATGATTCTGCCTTGACCATGTTTGTCATGAACCTTGATCCCTTTGCTCCTCCCATGAACTTCCTGATTTAAGCCATGTCTCTGCACTTCCTGTTTGCCAGATTATTGTTCTCTTCAGCCAGTATCTCGCTCCTTGCCTTCCCTGCTGTCATCGATATTTTGCTACCACTTGTTATTGACCCTTGGCTTGTTCCTTGACTACGCTTTTCCTGATCCCAACCTGCAACTGCTCATTACTGACCTTTGGCTTGTTTACTGACTACGCTTCTGTTTGATCCTCACCTGCTGAATATGTTACAAGACCGCTGCTTGGTCACCTCCTGGTGGGGTGATCCTGAGGACCACGGCCTGGTGCTAACATGCAGCAAAATCCATCTCCACCATCAGGAGCTCTGGTGAACACTGGTTAGTACTTAAATTCTGCACCTCTGGTGAGCCCACTCCTCCGCCAGAGTGACCTGTCTGTGTACCTATCCTGCTGCTTTCTGTGTGAGCCATTCCACTGCTGTAGCAACTGGTCTTCAAGCCTGATCTCTGATTGTGACCGGCTGATGGAGTTAGCATAGCATACTTGCACCAACTCTAGTCTAGCACTAGAGTTGGTGCAAGTTTTTTGGGGGGGGCATATACTTGGATAAATATTACTTCATCACTACAGTAGAAATGGTGGAAGGAAGCCAAGGAAGCCTCTGAGCCTAACCTTGGCAGCTGGGGTCTGAATTGGCTTAGGATAAAAATTGGCAAAGGAGAGTTTGAGATTTGCCACTCAACACTACCAATGGGATTCTGGATTTTGTAATATTATCTTGGTATACTTGTTCATTATTTATATGAATATATTTGTATCAAGCTGTGGCAGATGCCTGATAAACGTATCAACCCAATCAAAAAGAACTAAATTGTCAGTGTGGTTGTTTATGGCTGTATATGCCAACATGAAATGTAGGTACATCTTAGGTACACAACAGTAGCTAATAGTAGAATGAACAGCATTAGCAGTACACATGTGCAGAATCATTTAATAAACTGTTTACTTTATTTTCATTTTTGGGAACCTTAAAGTGAAACTAAAGGCAAAATTTTTTCCTGACACCAACATGGCAGCATACATGCGATATAGCTGCGTACTTATATCCACCCACAGGACCTGTGTTTGTCTATAAATGTCTGACTGAGAGCAACCGCCCCCATTCTCCTTTTTGTCCTCAAGATCTACACCTGCAAGACCGTGATGTTGCGGATGGAACTGCTGCCGATGGTGGCCATCTTGGTACACTTTGGTACCTGTGGTGAGCTATTCCCCTCTAGGACAAGGGCTGACTTCCCATCCAAGTGCCCAGGATGAAATTTGGTCTGTTTTAAAACCCTGAGATGTTTAATGCTTGATTGCCTGTTACCAGTTTTCATCTGGTGAGAGTACATCCGAGAGAGGTGGTGGATTCTTTTGTGTGATCATCAGCACATTTGCACTCTGCACCTTAATTATACTGCGCCTCATGGTTTCATGAATAATTGCATCCATTTATGGATAGTTGACTATATAAATAGCACGTTTAAACACGGACATTGATGTAGAGTTTTATCCTATTTATATATCTCAGATTTTATATGTTTATCACTTGCTACTGCACTTTACTTCACAGATCACCATGGACATTATTATATTTAGATTCTGCCCATAATACACTTTATTATTTGGCATTTTTGAGCTGTTTAGCTGATATTTTCATGCTTTTACTTGATGCACTTTACTGTTTCACTCAGCTCATTGCATTTATGATGCACTTTACCATATTGTTTGATTTTTATATTTCACATTTACTAATGTCTTTTGCACTTTTATGTGTTGCACTTTACCATTCCGCAATATATACAGTTGTGCTCAAAAGTTTGCATACCCTGGCAGAAATTGTGAAATTTTGGCATTGATATTGAAAATATGACTGATCATGCCAAAAAATGCTCTTTTATTGAAGGATGATGATTATATGAAGCCATTTATTATCAAATAGTTGTTTTGCGCCTTTTTAAATCATAATGATAACAGAAATCACCCAAATGGCCATGATCAAACGTTTACATACCCTGGAATGTTTGGCCTTGGTACAGACACACAAGGTGACACACACGGGTTAAAATGCCAATTAGAGGTTAATGTTCCACATCTGTGGCTTTTTAAATTGCAATTAGTGTCAGTATATAAATAGTCAATGAGTTTGTTAGCTCTTACGTGGAAGCACTGACTAGGCTAGATATTGAGCCATGGGGATTAGAAAAGAACTGTCAAAAGTCCTGCGTAACAAGATAATGGAACTTTATATAGATGGATTGGAGGTGTCAAAACAGTGGGAGCAGACCCATCTAGTCATTAATGCAGAAGCCCAGTTCAATGCTCGAGTGAGTACTTTTCTGCACCTTCTCAGAATAGACCAAGGAGCAGGGAGCATCTTTAGAACATGGTATCTCTGTCAGTTTTGTCAAGCTTCCCAATTAAGGGGTCTCCTGGAATTGATGGATGTCTTGCATCCCTATGCTACCCTGGACACACTGGATTCTCTGCACATTCCAAAGAATTTCCTTTTTGCAACACAGAAGTCGGCACTTGAGCTGATTCAAAGTGTTTCTCCTCAGATGTGCAGGAGTCTCTAGTTATGGGTGTGACAGGGGATCACTTGATCCCGTAAGGTAGGTTCATTATCTCGCGTTATTGTCACCTTTGATGCCTGTGCTACAGG